TCGTATAGTGACCTTAATAAGATACTCAATCTCCTGCCAGAGGACCAGCGGAATGACACTGCTGCGAATATACAAGCAGTGATGAGTATCCTCAGGCACAGGGCCGAAGAAGACCGAGCCTATTTGGTAGTCTTTTGGAAAGATGACGAAGGAAAGTGGAAATCACTCTTCGACTCCAAGGGCAAAGGGCTCTATTTTCCGGAAAACTTCCAATTTAATCCGACGGCGGAAGAACACAATAAATATTACTCTGGCGACCCGCCGGCCCAAGCCGAAGCCATGGAGACTCAAGAAGAAGTCGATAGAGGATCACCGTGTCGACGCATCGATTATAAGTTTATGAACCAAGAAGGAAGAGAAGGAATCCTCAGAATCGAAGTGGTCGATCCTCAGACGGGACAGATAGTGTCAAACGCAGGCTTCACTCCAGAAGAGGAAGAAGAGGAAACATCAAAACTTATGCAAGAGGTGGAGCAAGTACTGCAGGTCCTGCCACAAGAGGAAGAGCGCGAAGAATTCGAAGCCATAACCGAAGTATTGGTTAACGTCATGATGCCAAGAGCACGCCAGGACGGAGCATACATGCGCTTGACCCATATTGACCCTTTCCATGGAGAAGTGTACAAGCAGCTTTACACTTCGAGAGGCGAGACGCTGACTAAATTGTCGGGTGCGAAAAAGGTCAAGAAACCGGCTGAGAAGGGTCAGCCTGAACCAGTTAAAGCAGAAGAGAAGGGTCACAAAGAAAAAGAAGAAACGAAAAGTCAAGAGACTAAGGAAAGACCGCAAGAACAGGAGGTCAAGAAAGAAGAGCATCTGACTCCTGGGAAGAAAGGTGAAGAACGAAAGAAAGAAGATCAGAAGAAGAAAAGGAAACCAGTAAGGGTCACGGCACGAGAAGGTAGCGCCGGTGAAACTTTCGTTAAACAACCGAAATTACTGGGAGTAATGGAAAAGAAAAGAGAGAAACCCGAATCGGACTCTGAGCCAGAACAATTGGCTATCAACGCAAAAGCAGGGTCGTCACAAGCCGAGACCGACGAAGAGAAGGACAAAGGTCAATCACGCAAGGTGATGGAGGAAGCGATGACGATGCAGCCGATCTATGCGTCGACGATGAAAGAACGCAAGGACAAGGCTGATAAAGAGAAGAAGAAAAGGGATACTTCTGTCGAATCGGCGAAATCGGAAGTCAGCGTCACATCGTCGAAGTCGTCAATAAAAGAGAAAGATACAAGAAAGAAAGGTCAGAGAGACACAAGAAAATCTGACCCCAGCTTGGCAGATTATATGGATGCACAGAAGAAACCAAAGGTCACTGTCAAGAACAGTCTTATCGGAAGAGTTGACGCGGCTGACATCGTAAATTGGAGACCTGTCGAAGGGACAGTGAATTGGATTATACGGATGACGAATACGATGACCGATTCTTCGTCTGTGAGTCAAACGAACAAACAACTATAGAAGAAATTGACGAAATCCTCATTGGAGCGACAGCCAATTGGGGAAAAGCGACGAGGTCAGTCACGTCAAAATTCAGAAAGGATGTCAAGGCGTATTGCGAGGAGACAAATAAAAGACTGCCGCAGAGCAAGTACAACGCCGTTCTGGAATACGCAAGGAGCACAGGAAAAGTCCTTCAGAAACATCCGAAATATGGCTCCAAAGCGAAGCTTACATCACTGGGAACAATAATGAACGGAAGTTGGCTACAGCAAACGCAGATATCCGAGAACGGATTGAACGTGCCATCATCGGGATGTGTAGCCCGATGGGTACGACGAAACACCGTATGGCACAGTTCATCAACGGAGTTTGGAGCAAAGAGAAGGGAAATGCTTCAATCATCGAAAGGTCACTCGGAAAAGCGTTAACACAGATGGTAGCGGAAAACAAGCTGCACACCACAAACCCTCACAAAGGCGTGACCATCAGATACAGTTCATTGAACGCTGTACCAGAAGAGTTGAGACAATACAAGAAGGAAGAGATGAGCGAAGATACGACCATTATATTGGATCCCAGACTCGATGCGGAATGTCCCATCTTGAGTCAAATTAAATTAGACAGTGAAAAGGCAGCAAATTCATCGAAGAAAGAGAAAGAAGAGCAAATAGAGGAATCAATGGTCGTTGAAGAAAATGTCGTTGAAGAAAAAGAGGCAGAAACGGTAGAGAAGGGTGAACTGAAACTGCATGCGCCGAAATCGGCTGAAGAGGCTATTGCGTTGGTGGGACCACCGAAACCGATGTCGGTACAGGAAGCACTTGCCGCCGTACGAAGTCAAAGGGCAAGTGGATCCAGTTCAGCAGTGGATACCCAAAAGATCCACCGATCGACAACAGCACTGACATCGTTAAAGGCAGCACACGAACAAGCGACGCAAGGAAAAAACGACGTTAAAGGTCATGCTGCGGAAGAAACAGCTAAAGGTCATCAGACTTCAGCGCAAAGTGGAGTCGAGGAGAAAGGTCATCCGAGCTCAAGTCATGGAAAGATGGGGCAGCCTACTGGATCGCAACCGCCGGTAGAAGCTACACAGCAAGTGCAGTCCCCATCGCAGAAAGAGGAGACGGACGACGAGCTAAACGAGAGTAACGTCCCGTGGATGACAATTTACGCTGCGATCGGTGCAGCCCCGTCGAGAGAAATGGATAAGACGGATATTTCAAAAAGCAGTCGGCGACGCCGGAGTCAGCAGGACACAAGTCAACAAGCTCATAAAAAAGAGCGTATAAAGAAGGAAAGATCGGTGTACGATACACGAACACGAATCAACCGAACTACTACATTCCTCCGGCGGAAGAACAACGAAAGCAGAGACCGAAACCAGGTCCCCAGGCTTGGAAGGACGCTTTGACTCAAGATGCCATGCAGAACATAGGCGGGACTAACGGGTTCACCGCAGAAGACCTCTCCAATTACATGGCAGTTCAGTATGATTCCGGCCAAGAAAATATGAACGGGGATCGATTCAAGATCCAGAACGCGTTGGACAGTTTGGTCAAAGACGGAACCATCAGAACATGGAAGAAGGATGGAGTCGACCAATACGACTGGATCGCGAAAGCGTAAAACGGAAGAACATGTGTGGGAGGAAGGTCCACCACACAAAAAGAAGAATCAGAATCAGAAAAGAGAAAGAAATGAGCAGACCGTAGTTCTCAAATTACTTTCGAACCACACTCTGCAAAAAGAGTTGAATTAGCGAAGGGGCTATTTTACTTAGCGAATGGGCTAAGATGAGAAAGGTCACCATACAGTTGAGAATGGTTCAGTTAAAGAAGGATGACAAAGGTCACCATGAAACAGCGAGAAAGTCTCAGCTCAGCACTGCATAGCCTAGTTACCATAGGCGTAAAAATAGGCGTTGAGAAGGGTAACGTAAAGGTCATAGCATTATAATGTTTGAGATTGCAGGCTGAGACATCAAAATGACTGAACGGAGCCAATCCAACCAGAACGCGGCGAAAAAGGGACAGCGACCAGCTGTAAAAAAGGTCACGGGAGACCCTTTGACGAATTACAACGAGGACTGCCCGGACTGTAAACGAAACAACATCCTATCGAACGAACGTTTCCCATGCTGGACTTGCGTGGTGGCAGTACCGAACCAAGCAGTGGTGGTACCAGAAGAGGCGAGAAGGGTAACTCGATGTGTTCCGGCATTTGGTTACGGGAGACACATGGATGAAACTGTCACCAGAAGACCGGATGATTTTGGAAGATAAGTACAGAATGTGGGTCGGACGTAGACCGGGTTGGGATATCACCCTTGAACCTCCGAAAACACCAGAAGCGGATGCGTTCAGAAAGAAGTTTGAAGAAGACACGATGAGAATGGTACAGGAAAAGCGCGAGGCAGAGCGAAAGCGGCTAGAAGAAAAGGAAAAAGCTGCGGCAGAGAAGGGTTTAGCCGAAGCAGCTAAAGGTCACGCACCTACCCCATTTGCAATATTGAAGAAACAAGATGAAGGAGAAGCAGCTGTAATCAGACAGTCGCTGATACAGCAGATTGACATCATCTTGCAAGATCCACTCGCGGTATCGAAAGAGGAATACAAGATATTCCTGGACGAAAAGGTCAACCTAACGAAAGGAAACAGACCATCCCAGGTTATCAAAATCGCGATCGAAGAACGAATCGACAGGATGAGAAATTTCCGAAAACGGGAGAAAGATGTGGTTGAGGCCCTTCGGAACTTCAAGAAAGAGGAGTTCAAACGCCCAAAATCACCTCAAAGAGATGATCGCAACCGCGGCTATGAAAGGTCGTCAGACCGCTCCCGAGAAAGGTCATGGGACAGACATCATAACGACCGATACAGTGGATACGCGAGAGATACGCGTACGTCGGAGCAAAAGAGAAGGGATGAAGAACGTATCCGACGTGAAAAAGAACAAAGAGAAAAGCGCCGCCAAGAAGAAGCGGAAGAAAAGCGCTTGGCGGAGGAATACAGGAAAATCAACGAAACCTGTAATAGGCAGCAGGAGAAGGAACGGGCTGCTAAGGAAACGCAAAATCGCGATTTACAGAATCGAGAAGGAAGAAGTGAAGGCTCGAGTAAATCAACATCCTCAAAGGGGCCATATGATCAAGAGTGGGTCCAGGATAACCTGAACATGGCTGATTATGAGTTTGGAGACAAATCCTACAACAGCAAAAGGTCATCCAGCTCAGAAAGCCACCGCACGCCTAAGAGCCCGCGCAGAATGCAGTCAGTAGTCCATTCTGTTTGTTCAACGTTCAAGTCAGCCGAGAAACAACCGGAAAAGCAATTGGACGAGGTCATGGAATGCAGCCCGTCATCCTCGAATGTCATTGAAGTTCACGGAGACGAGGATATGCGACCGTCAAGACGAAACATCATCTTCGATCTTGAGCATCAGCTTACAAGCGCGGAGATGGCGAGTAATGCACCGCCAGAATCAGATTCAGAGAAGGGCGACCAGAAAGGTCAATCAAAGGTCACCGCCTGAGGAGACATTCCTCCAAACCATCGAGCTGGTATATGAAATGAACGACATCATGGAGCAAACGAACGAGATCTGCCGTTCGGTGGGCATCGCGCCAGATAATAAGGATGAATTCGACAAAGTTTATTGGCTTCTCATGAACTTGCGCCAGGTCATCAACGACTCGGGATACGCGAAAGAGTACGAGTATGGCCAATGGGAAGACCTGATCATTACGCAAGAATCGGCGAATCTTCATTACTTCCCGACGAGAGAATGCGGCCTTGTCAGTTTGATCGACCTGAGTCTCTTGGAAACACCGTTGGACACACCGGATCCAACAGGAATGACACAGTTCCAGTATAGAGACATCAAGGAAAGACGTCTGCACGTGGCACAATTTGTGTTACGCCATGTAAATCCGGCGTTGAGACTCCTCGCAGGAAGGGCTGCGTTAGGATTGTTGGTCAAACCAGATTCTCCGCCTGATCACCGCGCCACGATTCAGAAGATTTTTGCAGCAAGGCTCGGCCATTATGAATCGCATCACCAGCTGCGAAAGAGCGCTCAAAGAGGTATAGAGATACCGCCAGCACTGACCGCGCAAGTTATAAAGCTGGGAATGCCTGTTAAGAACTTTAACTCCTCGGAAACGGCCAAGAGGCAGCTGAAGGACGTCCAGAGAGCAATGAATTTCGACGAAAGTCTGAGACGTCAAGCGAAAATGCATGCCCACCGATGTGCGGAAAGAATCAGAATCACGATGGGTACGAGATTCATCCAGCCATCCGACTTCGTCTATGATTTCATCCAAGAAATCAGTGTAAATAGAAGCAGCTACCGTCCAGAGCTTGCGAGACAGCCGCAGGAAAATGAAATGAAACGAAGAGGACGAAGAAACCAACAGCTGCATTTGGACTATGTCGAATTGTGCAAAAGGTCACGGGATAATCCATACGATGAAGGATTAAAAGCGCGAATGGTCGACGCTCGAGATCATCTGATCCGTATTCAGCGCAGACGTGACCGAAATCGGCACAGTGGTGCTAGCAGCCGGAGCGAAGGAGACGAGCTGCCTGAGAGGGAAAAGGAACCTCGAGATCGAACGTCTGATCAGAATGAAAAACAAAGACGTTTCGATCGGAACCGCGACAATGGTTCCAATGATCAGTGATGACCTTTAGGGCATCGCTGATGTGCTAGTTACGGCCATCAGTCGGCAGCACGAGAATGGTATTGAAGGTACAGTATTAGGGCGAAGGAGACGTAACTTTTTGAACTGTCATACCGTTCGTGTTTTGTTGTTTTCAGAATTTTGTTGCAGGGGATCAAGGTGATCTGCAGTATGGGGAGTTACGGAGGTCATCCGGCCCTCGAAGCAGGAAGAGTAACGGCGTTAACCGGCCTTCCTCATTACATTTAAACGTCACTTCTAGAGTGTAGTTGCGGCCTACTTAGTCGGCACACTCTTAAGGAATGTCAGAAGCCACAAGGGTGAAAAAGAGAAAGAGTTCAAGAAAATAGGGTAAAACTTTCAGATGTTGAGGTTACGGCGATAACCGGCCTCAGAAGAAGAGGAGTTACGGCGTTAACCGGCCCTCGAACCTGGTGGAGGAAAAGAAGGAAAGTGCGCGTCAATTAGCACTAAAAGAAAGGAAAGGATGTGCGACAGAAGAAAATGGTTGAAAAGATGGATGACCTTTATCAGGGAGGCAAGCAGAATTGCTTGAAAGCCAAAATCGGCTAAGTCCTCCATGACCTTTAATATGGAACTTATGACAGAAATGGATGACCTTTTGGGTTCGTCACCTCCCAATTGAGTCGCACATCAGACGAGAAAGGATGACCTTTGAGAACTTCACTGCTCAAGAGAGTCATCAAGAAAAAGAGAATGACCTTACCAGGGAGGAAGCATTAAGCTTGTCTTTCAAGACGTCCCTCCATGTCCAAGAGGAAGAATCTCATTTTGACAGAAGTCGTACTTTGATACGCAATTATTCCAAAGATGAAGAAGCAGTATTCAGAAGTCGTACTTGATACGCACCTATTCCTACAAGCGGATCTCATTTGTGATTAAAAAGATTGCTCAAAAGAGCGGAATGGATCAAAGCGGATTACGGTTGACAGGACCCAGTGACCTTTACGAGTCGGAGGATCCTAGTCGTTTTGATAATGAATTCTGTTGATATTTTTTACTGTTTTTACTTTTGTTCCGAGATCTCTTTATTCACACATGTAATTGGAATTTGTGATGTTAAAGGAGATTAAATCTCGATGTTTTATTAATCGCACAGACGAGCCGTCAAGGATCCCAAGGAATTGACGTGGATTCTGCTTCGACGGAGCTCAGCCTCCCTCCCAGAGGCATGTGAGCGCAGGCGTACATGCGTACACCCTCGCTTTGGCAGTCTGTTGTGTTTTGCTGCACGCCCGCCTTACGCGAGGCGGAAGATGTTGTTCTGCACGCACCCGCACTGTGTGGCGGCTACGTGCACATTTTCCACGCTTGCTGCAGTCAGCAATGCGGAGTTGTCCACGAGGAAATTCTTACGAATTTAGTCTGGTTATAAATTCCTAGCAGTCACGCCATTTCTCGCTTTCTGTAGCGTAGGCGCTTTTATAGCACTGCCAGGCTTTTTGGTAGGCAGAATTCCGTCAATTCTGATCCTACGCGTGAACCTTCATCAGGTCCACGCTCATATAGTGAAATACAGTACGGCAGCAGAAATTCCTGAAGTACAAATTGCACAAATTATTTGAAAACGTTCCCACTACAATTAAGTTTAAGAAGAATGCTTACTTAAAATGAGTCGTGTGCAAGTCCATCGTACGTAATGGCCTATAGCAACTGCTCAAGATTTCTTTGCACCGTACGATTTCGATAAAGAGTGAACCAATATTGTAAATCCAAAGTAGCACGCCATATATTAAACATACGAAATGAATGCATATTGCTTTCGAAAATCTCTTCGTCTAGTACGTGTCCAATAAAAGTCGAATATGCTCAAAACAAAAAGTTTTGCTGGGAGAAACACTTTTTGCCCATATCAGCAAAAACTATTAAATATTAAAGCGGTTGGGAATAGCGATAATATCGTATAACGTGTACTTCAGTATAATTATACCGCAGTACATTCATAGTTGTACAATGATGACCTTTGTACTGGGTTAACCAACGGCATGTATTCCGGGTTCACATCTTGTGCAGCGTTATGCAATCAGTTGTGCGTTTCGGGCTACGGTGATGCGATAAAATCATAAATCAATGGCTCGTCCTTACCATTCGCACGATAATCAAAGTAACTGGCAGGCGGTGGCATAATGCAATTGCTGCTCCGTCAGTACATTGCTGGTACATATTAATTTTGCAATAATTTAATCATTACTAATCAAAATATTGCGCAAACAGGTGCTTGACAACTGGAACCATTAATGCATTATCGAAATTGGTGACAACTTGGCGTCGCCCGAACTGTAGAAACTTCGAAAGCTGGCAAAATGGCGTCAAAATCAAGAGCACATGCTCGTGCAGCGTTGAAGTATCGTAACATTATTGGTTACCGTAGCGGTCATTCCCAGGTAACTATCTCGATATGCCATTTGTTTTAACTGATTCCTTTAAAGACGCAAGTATACCAGCAGTACACGTACGGCTGCAATCATATTATGCGCCGCCCGACAAATAGCGGCGAAGCTCAACCACAGGAAAACTGCACCAACTGTAGCATGCATCACATGGTACCTTCATGATGTACAATACGTACACCACTGAAATTACTATACTGCTGTGATATTACGTCTATGAACAGCATCAAAATTATTTGAGTACAACAATTTTAAAACGATAGTATTCATTCAGTTCGCACATGGTTTTTTTTATTTTTATGGTTAGACGGAACATATATAAACCAACTGCCGGTATCTTGGGAGCAAAGTGCGTGCAAGTATGATGTAACAGAAAGTAGTCCATGACGGGTCATCAGTCCATGACTGGTCATCACTTTACATATATTGTAACCGCACGACTAGGTAGTCGAAGACGACAGCAGTGGTCAAACTCAAATACACGCTGACTTTCCGGATAGCCACTCCAGTGAAGGAACAAAGAATGTAATTTTTACTGGGTGATTTGCCCGAATCACTCGTCATTGTTGCCATTACTGTATTACAGTATCGCAAAATCGATTCCTAAATGGAATACTTTCGGCATAGCGCATTTGTCCAATCGTTTTCCAATCGGAAATATTTGTTGTGCACGTGCGAACAAAAGCCAGCAATTAAGCTCTAACCAACAATGAAATGCAGGGAAATTTATGTGGTTGATACTAATTTAATTTAATTTAACTCGAGTCAGAGCAGTAGCCCATTTCCGGCTCGGATGACAGTCTAGCTTGGGCTTTTAAACCTGGCTGGTAAATGCTGAAAAAGAAGGTCAAACAACATCGATTCAAAGGTTTACCTTAAGCTTGTCAAGTATGACAATCGGCGTTTCACGAAGTACTAACCGAACAGTTTCCTTGATATGAAAATGAAAATTGAACGGATCCAAACACCAAGGTAGCTAGTTTGGCCGCGAGTGATACTGGAATCGCTCGCTAACGTACTGGTGTCACCTTCTGAATAATGCTAACAAAGACAAGTCTCACAAGACAAAGACAAGTCTCACAAGGCTCTTTATGGGGTATTCCTCTACTACGCACATATGTCCGTGGTGGTAACTGGTCGATGACTTTCACTTAACCAATTATCAAAAAAATTATTCGTTGCAAAATCATACCGGGCATGGCAAACCTCATCTGTAGACGCGATGAGTACTGTATCACAACGGAGCACAAGATACCGTAATTATCGAATTTGCACCTCCCCCATAATAAGGCCCCCCTCCGTAATAAGCCCCCCTCCCATAACCCGTTTGAAAAATAGCGCCTCCCCCCGAATTTACCGCCCAGGGGGGCGTAATTAAATGTTAAGCGCAACAAAATGATAGATACACCGCCAGTTGCTTCATAATAATTGTTATGATTTAATGAACAAATACTAAACGGTCACAAAAATATTTTGATGCTATGCTTCAGAATGCTGGTCGCAAGGTTCTGAAATTGCAAACACCGGTATCTACTGCGTTCAGTTTCATGAGAACAGATGAGCAGTTGTTTGAAAAATAACGGCCCCCTCCGAAAAATACTGTTTGAAAAATAGTACCACCCCCCGAAATAACGCCCCCTCCCCGAAATAAGCCCCCCTCCTCGAGGGCGTTTGAACTTTTGCACCCCAGGGGTGCAAATTCGATAATTACTGTACATACCTCCGAGATGTTTGCGGTACACTGAAAAAAAATTGGCTCTGTTGAAAAATTAGCTAAAGTACGGAAACCGCTTGCATGCAATTTGATTGAAGCAATCATAATTAGGAACATGATATTTTAGCAATCTGAAGATGTACCCGTAGTTTTGTTTGATTTTTAACTGAATGGATGCATGTAATGAACACCGAAGAAACCGTTAGGAATGATGCGGCAAACATGGATGCACATATACAGGTAATGGAGAGTTATCGTATTCGATACTTTGGAATTTTACCAGTAATTATTTAGTGTTTAATTGACGTAAAATTTCGACGATGCATTTATATTGTAAGGGCGGGACGCCCCGCCCTCCTGAGTAGCTATTTGCTGTTTCTGGGGATTTCCACCCCGCACATTGCTGCGCTGTTTTGACGGACCTGCAGCACAGTTGCACTGGCTGCAGGATCCTTCCTCATTAGTCTGGTGTTGCTGCGCCACGGTGCGCATTAGATTCGGCAATAAAGCCTCATCCGGGTTCACCGCTGTTCGCTGTCGAGGATACGCGTGGCGCCCATACGGCCCCGCGTTATAATATAAAAGTCCCTCTCCATGCTGACTTTAAACGTAAAAGTTTGCAGAGATAATAGTATGTCCGCCACGATATGCAGAGATATTCTGACCACCCCATCAGAATACGAGTCCGCGGCATGGAGCAGTAATCAGCCGCTGTGCAGGAAACATCACCGTCCAACAGCGGAATCCCCCAGAACCTTTAATACGTATCAGGTACGAGTACAAACTATGCACCAGAAAACAAAACAGCGTTTACAAAAAAAACACTTCCTCTATGCTATCCTGATCGGGGATCGTACCCATTACACAAATCGCGTTTCCCCGTTGTATTTGCATAGATATTCGCTGTTTAAAAAACTCTTTCGCCCGCTTTTGGCCAGTTGAAGTCGCTATACCGTTCGTTTCCAACCGTTTCTACTAGCTTTTTAGTACCGTCTCCAAAAGGTCCGTAAATTTCGAATGCTGCAGCAACGAAATCGTATCTTGTTTGCATCCAAGCGTGTTTCGCTAGTTTCTTTCTTTCAGCAAGTTCGGCTGCTGCGCCGGCGTTCACGGAAGTGCGGTCGATGTACGAGGCCGCCAGCGTGTCCACGCAGGTCACAGCGGAATAGGGAATGCACTCCAGCGCGATCAAGGTGACCCCATGAGCGGTCTTTCTAAAATGGCCGGCGTCGGAGTCAGCAGCGATTGGCGCGTCGCTACGGCGGTGCTGAAGCTGAACCCGATAATCTCAACTGCGCAGATTATCAGCGCCAGCCACCAGATAGGCGTGGATCTGAGCTAAGGAACGAAGATCCAAGGAAAATGGAATTCCACGGTGGAATTCCATTTTCCAAATCCGCGCTCCAGGCGACGTTCTTGGATTTAGGAAAACGGAATTTAGGAAATCCGCGGAATTCCACTTTTCAAATGGAAATCCAAATTACTGTATTTGGATTTCCAAACGAACGAAAACTTTCACAATTATCGAAACTCACCCGGCAGTTTCTCACTTTTTTGCCATAAAACGCATATCAGTTTCGGCAGTTTTAAATTTTTTTGCCGGCATGGAAACAAAACATTCACTGTTTATATTGCCACGACCCAAATGCCAGCGCTCTAGCATTCAGTGAGTTAAAGTGCGAATACTGTAGTACTACACTGTCGCCCACCCGGTACTGACTCTGAGGATTACATAGGGCACTAATCACCGGAGCGTAGCGAAGGTCCTCTATATTCAAGACCAATGCAATGGTTGATTTCTGTCCGTTACGAAAATCCGTTACGGAAGTTCGTTACGGAAGTTTGTTACGGAAGTGTGTTACGGAAGTGCGTTACGGAAGTTGGATATGGAAGTGAGACTACGGGATCATGCAGCTGACCGGTGTGATGCAGTCGCAGCCAGTGCTCTACGACATCGTGGTTCGCTGCCGTTGCCCATGGCGTCTCGGCTACAGAATACACAGCGGCACTGCAACCCTTGAATTGTTTCCGTTACAAAAGACTTTTACGGGATAACGCTATGACCTCAGGATATTTAACCTAATGCCACTTGTGGTGCCTGTTGCTGTGGGTCTGTACGAAATCTAGAAGCTCACCGCTTTGTCGTCATTTTTGACTGCCGTGACCCAGCGCAGCTTCACTACATAAATACTCGTAATATTCTTTGCTTCTCGACAATTCACATCGGTCTGATCAACTGTAATAAATAACTCCCGACAAAAATTTCCTTCTGAAAATTTTACTCCTGTTCCCTACGCTACCGTCGCTGAAATAGTAGGTCATAATGGTCATGATGGCGAAACCCAGGACTGGCATGGGTTTTCGTTTAGCTTATGGTATTAATAGTAACCTTGGGCCGCGTACTTGTACGCTCATCCTCGTCCGTGCGTCCCCTACCTCGTGCATCTTGTGGAAACCTACTTACTTAAAAAAAACTACGTAAGAAAATTATTTTCGTCGGCCATGGTTAAGAGGGCGTGGCTAAACTCGATTCCATTGCACAATACATGCAACAGTATGTATCGGGAACACCGTAATAGTGGCAACAGATACGTGTTGTCAGTAGTCCGATCCTTCTAAAAATTCTTCTGAAAATTACTGCTATTAATAATCGAGAACAACTTAACAAAAGTTGTGAAGCTAGTAATTAGTGATAACGCGTTTTGTATTTGCGCCAACACTCATGACGTATGATACTACGTATATCGCGGGGCTTATTCTTATTTTCCAATACAAACTAGCACAGTACTACATAATTCTTCTCGATAATTTGCACAGTAATTTTTAGAAGGATCTGACTTTGATCACACGTATTGGTCACAAACCTCTGACATTGTACGGTACACTATTTCGGTATTCCCAGTAAATAGTGCTGTATGTATTAATGCACTGGAATTAAATGTTGCCACGCCCACTTAACCGTCGCCGATGAAAATACCTTTTATGAGTATACCCAAAAATTATTCTGTCTTCCTGCAAAAAACAAAATTTTTCGGGGCCGGTGACCGGGGCTTGGTAAGTCACGCTCCGGTCTGCCAATGCACGCTAACGTGCATTTTTCTAGTAAAATAATTTGAAAAACGGATAAAGCTACACGACTTTCGCTATTACTTACATGCGAGATTTCGAGCCGATAAATTGAATGAAACTTTTCTGTTATAATAGTGTTATTTAACTCACCGTTAACAAGTCCGCACAGTAAATTTGTATTTAAAATTTTTAGTACAGTAATTAGTCGTTAATATAGATTCACGTTTCAAGAAGCAGAGCCGGTTTAGTGGTCTGGCAAGGATGATGAACGAGGTAGTTAGAATCATGCTTGAAGTTGAAATTAAAACTATGAATCTACAGCGAACAATTAGATGGCATTAATCGAAGTGGTGTTTAATCGGTAGCCGCGTTACATTGGGCAACTATCTCTAGGAAAACAAAGCTAAAAAACTATTTTCCAACGATAATCGTAAAATCCTTGGATTTACGGAAATCCAAATGGATTTCCGTAAATCCACGGAATCCATGGAAATCCATGGCAATTTCCTTTCCAAATCCTTTCCACGGGCCCGAACCCGTGGAAATTCGTTCCTTAATCTGAGCGTAGGTGCCGTGGAAGGTCCAGTAAAAATTCCGTCGAATGCTGTTTCGTATTGTTGGTACACATTGAATACCGCGTGGTAATCGGTATTTTTGTCGTTGTCCCTAAAACCAGAGGGACCTAAACCTAAAAACATTGCACCGGCGCCACGCTAACATGTCCGTTCCCTTTTATTCTACCATAATGTCCAACGCAACACTATTGTTATATCGAAAATGCTGCATGAATGATGTTGAATATGACCCGCTTTTTGGGAGGAGAACGCATTGTCTACGTGAATGCATATTTCAGCATTCCCCACCCCGCAAATATGCACTCGCTGAGGGTATATGTAGGAACTACGAAATGAATGAGTGTATACCTATGCTGAGTGTTTAATATGCTGAATGTTCAGTATTAGCGGAGTCTAAGCGGACGTATTAGCGGAGTGGGGTAGGAAGAAATAGCATTAATTGCGCTGGAGTGTTTTGTACACATCGATTATTTCTGTATAGCCGCTACTAGATAGTGTTAGGGTATTTAATCATGTTAATTGTCGGCGCCTGTACCAGCGCTTGCAGCTGCACATAAAATGCGTTGTGACAAAACAAAGTTGTACTGGTTGGCGTTGGGACGTCTGAACGGTTTTATCTTCTTTCCACACCAGTCATGAAAATGGATGGTTTTCTTCATTATTATTCATACAAAATTTGACTTGAAAAATAATTTAAAATTGCTTAACTATGACTTTAACTACTGCAATGGCTTTTAATAATTCTTTATGCTTACTTTGCCTGACGGTAGTAAACGGACCCTTCTTCGCCGCTGTATTGCTGGCTACTTAAAATTTGTTCGCAAACCGACTGGAGTATGCCGAAATTATCGAATTTGCACCTCCCCCCATAATAAGGCCCCCCTCCATAATAAGTCCCCCCCCCATAACCCGTTTATGAAAAATAGCGTCTCCCCCGAAGTAACCGCCCATGGGGGCGTTATTAAATGTCAAGCGTCACAAAATGATATCATTTTGCATGCATGCGTCATGCATGATAAATATACCGCAAACTGCTTCATAATAATTGTGTAATGATTTATTTAATAAACAGTAAAAGGTCATAAAAATAATTTGGTGCCGTGCTTCAAAATGCTGGTCGCAAGGCTGTGAAAAGGCAAAACCGGTGTCTATTGCGTTTAGTTTGAATAGAAAACGATGCGCTGTTGTGAAAAATAACGGCACCTCCGAAACATATTGTTTGAAAAATAGCACCACCCCCCGAAATATTGTCCCCTTCCCGAAATTAGCCCTTATCCCCCACGACATCTTCACTTTTGCACCCCACGGGTGCAAATTCGATAATTACAATATGTACACTCTGTCTTTAAAATACCAACAAGTTGCGAGAAAATTAGGTGAAAATCTGATCGAGTTTTTTTTGTTCAGTTCCTCCAGTGAACCGGTCGATCTCATTTGGAAAGTCAAAAAAATGAGAAGCAACGCGACGTACAAGCAGTTGGAAAAATTACCTATTTTTCGTTTTTGTAACTGGACTGCGTTATGCTTTTGTAAAACAAATTCATTTGTTTTTTTATGAAATTTAGACTGGTGATTATAATGGAGAGCACGAAAACACATGTATCAATTGTTCAGTGTTTCATAAATCTTGGAGAGTACAATTTTGATAAAGTAGTGTCTAGTTGCAGCCGTGTGGATTCTGAATCGAAATGAATTATGGTGAAAATGAAGGAAAATGTGGATGTACACAGTTTAGGTATGTTGAAGAACGGGTAAGCAAACCAAGCCGACAATACCTTGTAACCGGTGTTAAACCCGGTAAAAATCGCACTTTTTTCTCTGTTGATTAGACACAAATTACAAATATAATGTAAGTACAACTGCCAAATCGATAATTGCCACACCTAACTGATTTTCAGTTGCGTCCGCCTGCACTGAAAACAACTGTACAAGTGCAGACTGGCAGTACACTGAGTACAGTAACTACTTGTTATTTCACGCTAAGAATATGACAGAAGGCAAGAGCTCTGCAGACAGCTAGGTTCTTAATTTCGGTTTACCTTTAGTGCAAAAGAAAAGAAGAAATCGAGAACGCATATCGTTTCGGAGGAGTAGCCGAATTCGCACGGATATACAAATCATTAGATGCACAACCTAATCAACTTGTTTTTGCCAAATGTACAGGTTTTACGTCGTCTATCAAGGTGCATTTACAGCCTGGCCACGCCAAGTTCGGACAGTTGCATAAAATAAATTTAAAAATAAATTTGTTCGTCATTATGTTTTTCTGTTAACTCTTTCCTAGTGTAACTTTTTATTGCGGATCTAGTGATACCAAAACTGGAATCTTCTGACATGCCACTAAGCAGGTAGGCGGTGATTAAGTGGGCGGGGCAGAGATCGTTTTTATGGTGCTTATTACTGCCCCTCTAGAAACTTTACGAACCTGAATTTTCCAGTGACGTTTTTTGGAAACTGTATGACTACCGAAAGGGTATCCGTTACGGTTCAATAACTCGGCCCTGCGCTATCGATTTTCGTGGTAGCCTCAAAACGAAGTTCGTCTCCCATAGACTTGTATGTTATAACGCACACGCCCAAGAATGCGGTTGCCTAGCGCACAAATGTGGAAGATTTCAAGTTGACAGTTTCCATGGATGAAACACTGGTCAAGTGACACGAATTTAATGAATCGACAGCTGTCTACCATACAGGCTGGAAAATGCGCGGGCTGGACAACTGGAAGAGAAATCTGGCAAAGCGGTGACTCAAAAATGTTATGACCGACTTCCTAATTCGTTAGAACGAAACGGATCGGGTTTTTTGTGGAAATGGAAGACCTTAAGGCAGACGCATAGTAACCTATAAAAAAGATTTCATCAAGATTAGACACCGACGACCGCTCACGGCCGAACGGCGAGCGCCCGAAAAAGGTCATCCAACATTTTGGAGGTGTCCGCTGGAAGGCTGCAAAGGTCACGTAGTCTTGGTAGAAATCGGGCTGTGTTAGGCATCTTCCGCAAGAGAAAAGATTGCCAAACATTATGAAATTAACTAGTCTAGATTAGGAAAGAGTTAGGATTTTTAAATCAATTGTGAAATGGAAGCTGCATCCCAGAACAGATGGGTCGAGTCGCATTTCGAAGCTCGTCCGTTCTAGTTTCGATCTCAGTGCAACCGGAGGGATGTTTTTAGCGTAAAAACTTTAAGTGCAAAAGTTGCTGGACACATACGCTGATCATACAAAAACGAAACACGATTTAAATTCTTGACGGGTGACTTGTGGGAATTTTTGGGAAAAAGTGTCCGAACTTGGCGTGGCCAGGCTGTATATAAGCAAGTCAGCAGTTATTCTACAGTGTCTGTCGGGCTGGGATTAGCGATTCTTCCAATGAACATAGGAAAGTCACCAGCGTTGTCCCAGATGAGCAGCAGAAAGGGTCGATTGGCTTCGAATGATGGAAAATAGTTGCACGTGTAGAATGGTCGCATCATTGTGACAGTTGCTGCCGTAATTCCATGTTCGTCGACATCTAAAAATTTAAGTTTCGTTGAAGCACCAGCATGCTCAACATGACGATGCATTGGTCCAGTAATTTAAATGTAATAGGTATCTGCTGCTGCGGTGTCTGCATCCAGAAACTACAGCAACGGTAGCGGTACCGTGTTACGTATGCACAGAAACTGGCAACACATAGAGAGCACACGCACGTAAATCACACTCCCTGTGGTGCAGTCTCCGCTGTTCACCGGATGGAGAAAAGCTCCTGCGCTTAAGCATCTGTGAGGTGTTTCGAACTATTGTAAAAAAGTGTAGCGCTTTTTTAATAATGGCGGTCAGGGTGGTATTTACAGACATACCTAGTTTTGCATACAAATTGTCTGCAGACGTCTAAAACTGTCTACAGTGGAGTTGACAGTCGGAAATAAAAAAAATAAAATCTCAGACAATATCTACAGAGGGTGCCATTGTGGTGGAAATTTATCGTTACCACACGAAGAATGTAATCGTTTCAATTGATTACCAGGGGCTATTTTGGTACAAAAAGAGCCGTATATTATATCTTTGGCGTAAAAGTATCTGTGACTTCGCCACACGGATTGGTGTACTCTGTATGTACCGCAAATAACGCTATCCGGCACTGAGCGTGACTGCCAATCCACAGTGCCACACAGCTTTGTTTTGCTGTGCAGATTAGTTGTATTCGACATTTTGCGAAAGAAACAAACAAATAAGAAACAAACAAACAGGGGAAATCAAGTAAAAAAATATGATAATCAAAAGTCTAAAATAAACACGATACTGCAAAATAACCTTGGAATTACTTAAAAATAAACTTAAAAATAACTAAGGGAAAAGGAAATAATAACCTGAAGCAAACTACGGTTATGATGCATCTCTGCTGACCGCTTACAATGCCGAGTTATTTTTGATGTCGACAGATTACAGTATATGTTTACATTATTGTCACCAAAAGCCGTAAATAACCTGAGCATGGTTACGTGTTAGGATGCATATTATGCTATACAATAGATGCTTGTTATCGGGAATGCACTTACCAAACATAGTATTTTGCGCAAAGTCACCAACTTTTGTCAGTGCCTTATTTCCGAACATTTTCGACATGTTGGTCGTGGGTAGGTACATTTCCGTTAGACCCAATGCTTTGGTACAAGGTATCAAATCGGTATTGGTGGAAATGCGAAATTTCGGCAAGGCAACTTTAATTCTAGAAATGCTGCTTTTCTTCCGCCATTCCTCCAGCACACTAGCAGTTTCCGCTATACGGCTTTCCAGTCGCGCAAGGCTGTCGGGACTGTCTTCCGGCAATAAGAACATGACACTATAGTTTTTTCCGCTGATGTCGAGTATCAACACTTTGGGATCGCGTGGCGATAACTCGTGTTTCTCCTCGTCAACATTGTACGAGCGGAAGTTCTCCTTCTCCGAGTTGAGAAAAGGGATGAACAATCTCCTGCCGTCCGCACAATAAAAATCTCTGTTGAACGTGGACAGCGGTTCAAACGGAATGTCCCAAATTCCGGAAAAGTTGATCGTCGATAGCAAAATTAAAGCGCTTTTCTTAACTTGGTCTAACTGCAACTGCGGCAAAATATCGCTAACAGTCCACGGCGAATGAAGATGCAGAAAGTTATTAACAGCATCGATAGCTTGTTGCGGCTCCGTTGCGAAAGGGACGCCGACGAAGTGAATGTCCTGGCAGCTCTTCAATGCATCGCGGTAGGCTTCCGTCAAGGTAACGCGCGCGTCGTAAAACATTGCGTTCGCCTGGACAAAACCGGTGGGTTTTTTCGCGAACAACGTCTCACATAATTTTTGTACTGATCGGCCATCCGGGCATAATAGCCGCAGAAGGTTCGCGTGAATTTCACCCTCCGTGCCAGGTAAGAAGCAGGCCAAAACGCTTTCGATGGAATACGGGCAAATGATGAGATTGGAAGTTGATGGGACCGTATCAGCAGCGGCTTTGTACAGCGCAGCAGCAAACGCCAGTTCACAGTTCAGTTTACTTTTCCTATTCATTTTCTACAGCAGTCAGCAGTGTAACTCGATTTTGGAAATCTGCTACTAAAAAAATAACGTAGATAAATACTGTAAAATGTGTCTGTCGAGGACGCTGTTATACGGATAGCTTATTATTTTATTATAGCGAACAGCGCAGACCCGTCTCGTATAGTGTGCTGTCCTCCTTACGTGCGTATCAAGTGCAGTGGAATCGATCGATAGTATTTCATGACTTGTTAAAGTTGTTCGCGGTCGTGAAGCTTCGTGAGACGAGCATGCAGTGCCGCCGCAGCATGCTGGTGCAGTTTGTATCACACCGCGTATGCTTGTACTAATAATAGGCCGTTTGGGTTGCAACTTTTATGTATACAAGTAACGCACACGGCACAGATAATATGACAGACACATATTAAACGCTCGCTCTAACTGCCCGGACTTGTGGGTATGACTTATAGCATAGTGCACGCACTCATACAACTTTATATTATAATAATATAGCATAGTACACGTACACGTACAAGCAAGTTGAAGCAACTAATAATTATTGGATTTACCCGTTGATCTCAAATTCAGAACACGAATCTGACGTTTCTTTCTTAAGTGCATTGTCCACCTATTTGCACCCCTCTCGCAAGAGAAAACGGCACAGCGGGGGCTCGGAAACTAACTTATACTGTAAATTTACTACTTTCTGTGCTTAAGGGAAGTGGCCCGGTACATGGCACCAAAGTCGTGTATATGCACGAAATCTTTCACTTTCGCGCACTCCCAAACCCTTTTTCCTTTTGTTTTATGACATTAAGCAGGTTGCGGTATCAACGAAGGGGTACGATTGACGATAGAATTAACGACGGGGTAAAATTAACGAACGTTTAAACGGCAGCACCCGTCGTTATTAACGAAACGAAGGGGGTATCGTTTCGTTAATAACGACGGCTAGGGCCAGTAATACACACCTGGCACACTCTGCACGATGTTACATACATAGGCCCAGAGCAGAGCGCTAGCATTCACCCGGACCTAGAACCCGAAGTTGCCCACTCGCTTCAAATTTTTGAAAGAAAGAAACATTTGTGGCGGGTTTTAAGATGTCTTTTGATTTCTAGCGATATTTTTGGTCTGCAAATTTCTTAAAACGTTTTTGAAAAGTCAACAGTCATTTATACTTTGTAAATATGGGTGGCAAGAAAAGGTCAGAAGAGGAGATAGCCGCAGAAAGAGCCCAGAAAAGTGCAGCCAAGCAAGCAGCCCTGGATATGCAAGCCAGAATTGACATCGAATTGTTGCGTCTAACTAAGCAAATGAACCCTTTTCAATATACCGTCAACAAACGTGTTCCTACGTGGATTGCAATTGCGAAGGAAATGAACAAGAAGATTGATGGGCAAACGTTTGAGGATCGCCGTTGTCGAGAACGTGTGGCTAAGCTCATGAAAGATTTCAGAGCAAAGCCTCCGACAGGCACTGGAACCGAGCCACCATCAGAGACCCAGACGATACTGGAATTTTTGATTGAGGAGGAAGATCTTACCATCAACAATAAAGTGGAAAGCAAAGAAAAAGAAGAAGCTGCAAGAGTGTTGACGACTCAAGTTCAGCAAGCTGCCCTAAAAAGACTGGGACCACGAAGTGATCCAGAAAAGACAAGTGAGTACGAAAAATAATTCAGTTATCCAAAATCCTTTCAACTTATTTTTTCTGTTGCTACAAATACTACTCTAATTTTATTCTTGTTTAATTATTGATTTATTTATAATTAAAACAGTGCATTGTATAACTGGAGAAAATGCAGGTAGAAAATAATAATATTTTATCGTTTTTATTAAACACAACTTAATTTCAGTGACCCAGGAGGACTTGGAAGAACAGTTTCCGGAAGGAGTTCCGCAGAAACTGAAGCGTCGAATTTTGTCCGTGCCGGAAAGCCCGCCACCAGCGTATAAGAGACGCCATACAGCTGACCCCACAACGGATTATTTGGAAAAGAAAAGAGAGCACCAGCTGGAAGAATTAAGGCTGAAAAAGGAACTGCATGAACAAGAGATGAAAGATCGCGAGGCAGAAAGAGAACTGAAACGGGAAGAGCTTCAGCTGCAGCGGGAAAAGTTGGCCATGGAAAAGGAAGAACGCAAGCGGCGCTATGAATTAGATCGGGAACATAATGCGCGTATGTTTGACATGATGATAGCATGCATGCAAAAAAGGGGTGCGCATGATGAGGACTTGGAAAAGGAAAAGGGTAACAAGGAAAAGGAGCCCCGCTTGCGGAAAAGTATAAGCCCCTAAAGTTTAGCGATTACAGTAGATTCAAGCGCGAACCCCACCCCATCCCCATTTCCTTTATTCTGTTTTTCACAAATATTTGATCGAATTATTACAAGTGATTTTCGTGATATGCAGATATCCATAGTTTTGCATTTGACAGGAATTATAGTTTTGGACTAAACGGGTGAAACTGAAAATAGCCTCTTGACATCTCACATTCTAGATCAGTATATTATGGATATTGGATATATTTTAGGAAATTTCTAATGAGAAAATCATTAAATCCTCTGGTGTTATGTGTGCTTCCGGTGGTTTCATTTCTTAGATTTCAGTCTTCCAGACAGCGGGCCATTGATTTTTCGTCCACGTTGATGGCAGCAGGATTATAGCCTCGCCTCGGTATCACTACGAACGCCTTCAGCCTAAAAAGTTTTAAAAATACAAATTAAATCCAGAAGCGTTCGCAAAATTAAGGAAAAACTGCGCTAAATTAAAAAAATCGACAGAAGTATACACACACTCTGTACACAAATTATCAGTTTCCAGTAGTTTGCTTAGTCACGAAAAATTAAGTCCTATTTTCTTTCCTTATGGTGTTACTAAAAAACTGAAAACAGTTGTAAGTGCTTTATGGTGGTGTTTAAGTAATTACTGTACAACAAGATCAGCATAAATTCATATGCGGCAGCACTCTGAGTACACCATTACATTAACCAGACTAAACTTAATTTAATTACTATATCTTAAATAATCGACTTAAATAAGTAATTGCCGTACCTTCCGGTATACTGCTCTCATAATGGTGGAGAGTCGGAACACTTGATGGATGCCTGCCGTTCCGGGCGAGACCATAGTCTTCACGGGTTGCGGATTGTACTTTTAGGCACCGGTGGTGACTGTGATATTCCGTCCAGCACTGTCTCCCCTTTCACCGCGGATCGGAATGCAGGTTTGCCGCGAGGCGCTTGGTTCCGGTTGAGATGGTTAAGAAAGAACCTCACGCTCCGGTACACCGTAAGATCAGATCGGAAATAAAATAATTCCACGCAGAGAACAAGCATACTGCGGAGACTTTCCGTGCAATACATTTGACATAAAAAAGTATTACTTCGTGATTCCTCTCTACGTATTCCTAAATGTATAAATGAAAATTTGTGTCTTTGTAACACTGATTTCGCATCCGGGTATAAAAAATCGAATCCGGGATGGCAGCGATAACACGCAATCAGCACTATTGTATTACCTTTAAAAAGTTCTGTACAACACTGTACGAGTATAGATAGGTTTTATTGATAAACGACTGCAGAATACAAATCAGTGCACATATTCAAGTTAACACAACATTTAAAAAAAATTAATCAAAAAATACATGTATATATATAACTTTGAGACCTGCGCTACCGCGTCTTTCATAAAATCTGTTGCCTTAGCTGCAGCTTGGCAACAGATTAGTACAGTAAATACATAATTAAGTACAGTGGGTACAATAAGAACACAAAGTAAAAATATTGTAAGTACTGTTAAATTTTGTACCGCTGCGTGTACCGCTGATACAGCCTTTGATGTTGAAACTCATTAATTTTATCCATTTAAATATACTGACAACGGTGGAGGGGCTACATTAAAGTATGACGACGTATTCGAACCATTTAAACAGGTGTGACAGTTGGTCAAAAATGCTGCCACACGATGATATTTGGCTACTGGCTGCAAAAATAGCTTCTGGTTCTCGGCAAATTCCGTGAACGCAAAATTTTGTGAAATCTTCCCAAAACCCCACTCTACACACACTCGCAGCTCTTCCATAATATCGTTGCACCGTGTCTGCTCTGGTGTTGGGTTGTAGCGAAAAGGCGCCTGAACTTGGGGTGTTGACTTGCATGCCTGGTCACCAAATAAGTGATACGGAAACTGCCCGGGTGGGTTCCAGATAGGATTTGCGGCCATTTTTTGTTGAACCTCACTATCCCAAAGCATTCTAGAGTCGTGGTGACTTCCGGGATAAGGCCCGTAATAAGATATCATGATTCCGCATGGGGCCATAATACTATAGTATTTAAGGTCATGTTCGCGCGTGTAGCCGCTGTAAACAAGGTTTTGGGCTGCGTATGTATGGGGTCGGCAAATTTCCATATTTGTTCCATCAAGAAACCCAACACACGTCTCAAAAGGGCAGCCTTTGTTACTGAAAGCAGCAGCCCATTTAGCTAGCTCGTCCGCAGTTATCCACGTATGTTCAAAGGTCAACAACAAACGGCTGAAGTTGTCGTGGACATGATCCAAAACAACATTGAACAGTCGTGATAAGACGGTCAAATCTTTGCCAAACATATTCTAAAACGTGTACAGACGCAAAAATGTAATTATATAAATTATATGTTACGTAACTTTAAGATAAATTAAAAATAATTATTAAAAATAATTTAGGTACCTCCAAGTCATGTAAACGGCACGGATATGCAAGTCTGCGCAGCAATAAACACAATCCATCAACAGCAGGCATCAAGCACTGATTATCTGATGCGAAATGGTTTGGTAACTTAAGCGCTTCAGATAACAAATCAATCTCCGCAGCCGAAAAGCGAAAATTTTTTTTGCATTGTTCTTCGGTAAATTTGTGAACATCAAATTTCTCACGCTGTCTAATCGGCCTCTGCGTGGTAGTTGAAAGAAAATGCATTTCTTCCAGTTCGTCAACTGAAAGGTCGTCTTCTTCACACATGATGAAAAACAGATTTTTTGCTTTACTCATTGTTATTTGATGTGCAAGAAAAATTAAATCGCAGTGAAGCAACTGTTCGTTCACTCAATCGTGTACTCAGTAAAATAATTAAACCACTGAGATTTTCAAGCATGCCAACTGAAATAAACGAGACTTTCACTTTTTCACAGCTGAAAACGGGACAGGCGCCAGTCCCGTTAATCCTTGGTGCAGTTAATTGTTCAGTCTATAACGCAACCTCTTTTTCGTATTAACGAGGGCATTAATTACCGACGTTCAAACCGTCGTTAATTAAGACGTCAATTGTATGGCCGTGCAAAACGCAACCTACTTATTCTGTAGCCACATGATTTGTATACACTAGTGTGAAAACCGTTTCTGCGCGCAACATCCGGTTCGGGAGTTAAGGGTAGTAAGAAAATTCCAAAAAGTGCAAATGCATTCAGGTGTACCAAAAGTCTCATTATGGACCGATCTCTCTCAAATTTTGCACGTTAATGCACATGGCCATGGAGATCGTTTTTACACCGACCCACTGTCCTAGCATGTGTTTCAAATTTTAAAATGAATTTCGAAAATTTAAAAATTCATTTTAAAATTTCAAAAAAAACATCGGTGTAAAAACGATCTTCATGGCCATGTGCATTGTCGTGCAAAATTTGAAGGAGATCGGTTCATAATGAGACTTTTGGTACACCGGAATTTATTTAAACTTATTGGAATTAATTTCTAAGAGCCATAGCTCCCGAACCGGATGTTGTGCGCACAAACTGTTTTCACGTCAGGGTGTACACATCATGTGGCTACAGAATGTCATAAACCGACACAAAAATATATTTGGGAGTGCGCGAAAGTGGAACTTTTCGTGCAGGTGCACGAATTTGGTACCATGTACCGGGCCACTTCCCCTAACACATTGAACTATACTGACTAAAAAATTGTGCGCGCTATAACCAGTTGTTGTGCTACCGCGACAAACGCTCAAAACTCAAACGTGTCAAGTAATTCGCCTACCGTATGTATCTATTCGACTTAGACCAAATTTACCATCGTGGTAAACCTATATCTACATAAATAAAACTCTCAACTCCAGGGGCTAAAATATCTCAGTTCTGTCTCTACACACTGCCCTTGAGCGCTCTTGGGGAGGTGCCCCCGGAGGGAGTAACTGCAAAAAAAATTACCAAAAATAATAATGTTGTTGGATTCTTTTTTTAAAGAAAGGCAAAATCAGCGACGCATTATACGATTTTAAGCGTTAAAAATTAGCGTGAATGTCAAATTTTGCCGCGAAGCGCGAAACCAGAGACAATTTCAACCGCGAGAACTGCCAGAGTTTTGATTAAAAATAGAAAATTTTCACCGTGGTAGTTTTGATTAAAAATAGCAAATTAGCACCGTGGTAACCGAATTATTTCAAGCTAGCGAAGGTTGAAGGTCAAATACAATGCCAACATCGAGGTAAATTGACAGATGAAGTGAGTTTCGCGCGAAGCGCGAAGCCGACGCGCGTTTTACGTGAGATTTGTTAGAAATTCTATAAAAATAGTAGAATTAATATGTTTTTTATTTTCAAGAGAACCCATCTAATTTTTTTAACAGTTTTGAATTTTTTAATCTTGCACACTTGAACAACGAAAACTACACAGTACAGACTACACGTTTATCACTACATGAAATGTGTATAACTACACACTATTTTAGTCTTTGCTGAACCCGTATTGTTATCATGAAGTAAAGAGAAAAGATGCAGTAAATTTTAAAAAAATTTATTTGGTTCGGAATGTGTATGGGGAAATAATCCGTGTGATGGAGCGAACAAACTTAAAGTCGGATAAAACGCCGAATTATTTGTGCCACATTAGTGCGATTGAGAAATTGAATTTTTTGTTGTAAAGCCAGACTATGCTGACCAGCAGCTTCCGGTGACCAAGATCTGGCAACATCCGGTCGTCGAGATATGGCGGCAACCGGATTTTGCGGTGTGCGAAAGCGAAAGATTTAGTGTACGCATACCATCCTCTATCCCGCTCCCCTTCCGTCTGGAAAAAAAATTTTTATCATAAGAATTACCTATTCCTTCTTTCTCCATTTGTAACACCATGTGCCGGGCCATTTTCCTTCAATTCCATTTTGTGGCGCTTGTAGTGCTTTGTTGACAAACATTTCGTAACATGACAATGTCACAATGTCGACGACGATGACGATGACGACGATTCAGAAAATATTAAAAACCAGGAGGAGCCAGGCGATATAAGGCAATTAAAAATCCCACTTTTAACGGAACTTCATGTCGACGTTACGTCGGGTAGACATATTTTCGCGGCATAGTGACGGTCGATGAATTTTCATCGACTAAATACTCGACCAAATAGGCACATACTTACTATCTTAATATAATAAAATTTAACTTTTATGACAACTAACAAAGTGCTTAGGGTCTTTGAAGGCGTTAGTTGTTGGGAAAGCACATCCGTTACAGTCGAATAGAAACTGTCTATGGCAGAAAAGAAAAGCTTATAAGTGTTTGCAGTTTTTCGTGGCTTAGCACAGGATTGTAAGCGGATACGCTAAATCTGCAAGAAACAAAACAAACAAGGCTTCCTTAGTTTACCATTAAATTTATTCCTGCTATGCATACTTTCCGAATTTTTTCATATCTTCTAGAATGTTTGTGGGAATATTTAATTTAGGAATAAGCGATAGTCATATGTTTTACAGTAATCAGGGCACATTTTCCGGGTGCAAATTCAAAAAAATCGCACCTTTTGGAAAAATATACGCTTTCGTGGTATGATAAAAAAACTATCCCATCTGCCAAGGTCCAATGCCGTGATCAAAACAGAATTTAGCAATAAATTTTGCACTATGATGTAGCCTATGGGCAGTGCACCGCATCGTACGTTGTTACGTTATCGAACAATTTGTACAAAGCCATTTTAATTCAAAAACTCTTTTAAAACTTTTATCTGTTGACTTCAAAATTTTTATTCAAAAGTTTGTTCAACACTTTTATCCGTGGACCTCAAAAAGCTGCTCCACAATATACACACACAGTTATAGCGCTATGCACTGCATATCCGGGTTGAATTGAGGTGTACGTACGTACGTGCTCTTTAGCAGATATGCGCGATGCGATGGATGCAGACTTAACTACCATCGCAAGTAGTTTTGCGCAACTGTAATTTAAAAAAAAGCGATCAGCCAAAAAAAAACTTATTCTGTCTAGTAAATTTATAATAATCTTATTAATATCACACCACACAAGCAAGAACCCTGCTTGTGTGGCACATCAGTTTGTAGATCAGTAGATATATTTAAATGTGTATCATTATGTGTTCTTTGTAGTATTACCGTATAAAGATGCGAACTTTACATAGATACTTACCGAATCTACGTACACCACACAAGTGATACACGATAGGCAAATGATTAACAGGTTGTGGCTATTGCCACCAGAACATGTTAAAAGCGCAAACGGGTCTTGCAAATTCATAGTAGTTGGCATAGAAGTTCTGCGGGATGATGCCTGTCTTCATTCAATCCGATATCGGGCTATAGCAACCAGAAGATCCTGGAGAAATATCACACGACCCTGATCGCACGGCGGATACATCCGGCTGAAAGGGAATCCGCTTGTCAACCGGACCGACAGCATCATAACTAGGTAACGGCTATTTTAACCACCCTGCCACCACGTTGCAAACCGCTTTGGCTATCCGAACCACGTCTTTAATTATTTTTACACCACTTTTGGCAATTCTCACCCTCATACGGCTTTATTGAGTCGGCCGTTCCCGTCTCTTTTCGGATGTATGACCGTGACTACGATCTGTACATACTGTTCCCAGAAAAAATGTAGAACAGTACGGTACATAGGACCAATTGGTGCCATCGTAAAAAATGTGATCACTAGCCTGCGGACATAAAAAGCTAAAAAAAACCAGTTTTATCAGGGTTTACGAAAAGTCATTTTAGAACTATGCAGTGAAGGAATAAACAGAACGAAGTAGAGGGAGTAGTCGAAGGTGGTGTAAGAATTCATTTTGAAAAGGTAGTGGAAATAGTCACAAGGTGGTGCGAGGAGGTGCTTCAATCCACTGTCCGCGGCGATAGGACTGGTAAGTGCCGTAAACCGTCACTGCCGTTCGAGGTAATTTCTGCGGAAATATCCTGATTGCCCATTAAGATGCCTACCAGTATGTCACGATTCACAAAGAGGTCAAATTGCAATTTCCCTTCTTTCTCCGTGTTTTTTGAGCTGTCAATACAAGCAGACAACAACGATATATATATATATATATATATATATATATATATATATATATATATATATATATATATATATATATATATATATATATATATATATATATATATATATATATATATATATATATATGATTTTGTGGCCGTCGTTACTTTTGGTGAAAATTGCGCTGTTTCCGGTCTTTTTGAGCCAACCGAATATACATTGATAGTCGGCTAGTGGATTATCGAAAATAATTATTCGATTCTGTGCAGTCTGCAGCTGTGGTAGATACGAGAACAATCATATAATCATACAGTGGTGAATCATCAATGAAACGCCGATCTGACAGGAGAACAGCTGCATCACCAGGCACCAAATGTTATAGCTAACACTCCTGGATTAATTCGTTTAATGACTCTAAGATGCTGCTAGGCTGGCGCAGGCCGTAGCCTTTAAGGCAGGCCATTGCGTTCTGCATGCAGCTCGTCGCCATATTATTGGTACCGTTCTAATAGTTATTGCCTTTAGGTCGTTACTCCCTTGCTTCAGGTGACAGCTTAATTGACAACGTGGCACTAGATGACCTTTCACTCGACGGTTTAATTTTTAGCGCCACCTCACATTCTTTGAATAACTCCTCTCGGTATTACCTTTCTTTTTATTCGTTACTTTACTACCAACCGCAACCGAATTTGTTTCACTTAATTAAATTCCGTCGCACAGTTTTGTTTGAGTGCAAATGTTGGTAACTATCGTCTATCGGTGCTTCCAGCGATATGGGCTCGCACGTTACAATCACTAGCTGCATTCACGATTGCTGACTGATTTCCAGATATACGAGTAGATTCCGTAATTCATGTTATGTGGACAGCAATAATGTATCTGTGCAATCGTTTTATACGTTCGTACACTGCAAAGTTATTCTGCGAAAAACCCAGAAATTTTTTCCAGTTTTTGGTTGTCAATTCGTACCAAGTAAGTGGTTGTGCCAAGTTCGTATTAATTAAGTAGTAGTGTGCGAACTGCGAACTAGAGAACGAAGCGAAATTCGTGTTATGATAGGGCTGCGCAAAGCATCTGTAGGGTAAATGAAGAGCAGTGAAGTTGTAAACCGATTGTTAACAACACAAAAACAGGAACAGAGAAACGTTAATGTTAAATCACAGTTCAAGAGTTTACATGCCACTGAACTTATTTTGCAGACTCATGAGGGAAAACGTTTGCGTTCTGACTTGTTATGCTTTTTTTCACAACAGATTCAGAGAACACATACGGATTTTGCAAGGTCGAACGGCAATTTTTTAATCGCACAATTGAATCTACAAAAACATGCGTCCAAAACTCAAAATTACATTACAAAAACTACTACAGTACACAATCTACAGTACAGTACAAAAACAACACAATGAGATTGCTAGTACAGTAGTACATAATTATTTTAATCTGCAGACATTTTCCATCAGCAGCCAAATTATTTAAAGTTTATTATAAAGGCAGTTGAATCCTGTGCACGTGGACACTAAGCAAGAATTTGGGTTTTTCGTTGGGTCGGCGATAAAATCGGCATAATGCCTAATGTCAACATGTGCGGCAACGATCAATGTGTCGACGTCTCGTCCGACACTGAAAATTACTGTTGATACAGTTTCAAGTTTATGTTATTAACAAATCAGCAAAATAATACGATGCATTACACATATAAATATCGGCACGATATACAGGGGTTATAAAGGAGATTACTTATATAATCTCTATACTTGCTGTAGTCACTTTACTCGTAAGCGTTTCAAAGTATCAAAACTTTGGAAGTATTAATCGTTTTTAAAGTATTTTTTTGAAGTATTAATGTTCTAGTTTGCTTGTTATAATTCTGTCATCACCTTTGCGTATCTGCCACTAAAGTATAGGACCTTGGTTGTAAAAAAATATTTAGGGTTTATCATTCCGTCACAAACAGTTAATTTCCCACCAACTGGTACTCACTTGTAGGAATGCACGCCCGTGACACGCAACTCTCCGTTAAAATGGCACATCACTGGGCCACCACTGTCGCCATGGGTTGGGCTGGCAGTGTCTTTGCTGCACATGTACGTTGTACAGAAGGAGGGCTCCAGGTTCCGGCAAAGTGAAATGTCTCGCGGTGTTACGTCCATCTCCTGTAATCTCGGTGTTACTCTCACGTAGCCATTGGTTCCCCATCCGGGGAGGATACACAAGCCTGCGAATTCCGATCCTGGTACCGCCAGCAGAGCTGGAGCTATGTGGTCCGTAAAGGACACATCCTGGAGCGATATAATTTTTTCTTCTTTTAATGTCTAATTAACAGAAATAAATATTTCTATTACTTACATCCACAAGGTCCATTATACAGATGTCATGATTGTGTTGCTCGTAATGGACATTTGGAAAACAATGGACTGCTTTAATTAAAATGGCCACCTCTCCTTCCTCCACCTCCGTAACATCATGTTTGCCGAGTAGACTTTGCATTCTCCTGCCCTCCTTCTTAAGGAATACAAATTCGCGGCAAACGTGAGCCGCGGTAAGCACTTGCCGTGCGTTAATCTAGAGCAATGCTGAAGGTCAGGCTTTCTAGAGTTAGCAAAGAAAATACAGAAACAGCAAGTATACACGCTGTGACGGCAAATTACCAATTAAGTGCGTAGTTTTACGAATTCTAGGATAATGCAAACAGAAACTGTGCTAGGCTTACAGACTGCAGTATTACAGTAGATTATTATTGCACAAACTCGAGACAAATTGTTTTATATAATTACTACTTGCTTACTAAGGTTCCGCCTCCTACGTGCTCAAAATGGTTAGGAATATACTCCTTCTGAACCGACACCATCCAGGGATAACTATGAGGAATCGCTTCACGACCGCCTCGAATCTGCAAAGAATTTTGATTGTCCGGAATCAAACTAAGCGGGTAAACCATCGCAACTAACGTTGCCATAAGAAAACTGCTGATGACAACTGCCATGTTTAGGACACGCAAGAAGGAATAAATCACAATATAAAACTGGAAAGGTAGTAAGTATTGTAAGTAGTGCAAATTAAAATTTAGTAAATAATATGGTAATAGCTACTGCAGGTTATTTAGGTTTGGTGAAAGGCTTCCCCAACTTGAGCACAGGAAATCTGGTGGAACTGCATGATCGTAACACTTATTGTGTAACGCTCCTGGATTGTGGCACGAGATTCTTATGCAATTCCTTTCATAAGACCATTTTTTGTACTGCTATCAAGAGAATCACCTAACTGGTAATCGCCTTTTTTAAAAAGAATTTAGGCAAAAAATAAGTATAAACCGGCAGTAGCAAATACTCTGGTAAATCTAAGCGCCCTGCACATTATTACGAAGTCCCGTAAAAATTTTACATACCATATTACTCATGAGTCATGAATCATGATCAATTGTGATGGCAATTGGCAAACTGTATAATTAAGGGTAATAAAACGTTTCTTCCATGTATGATGATATAATGCGCTAAAAAGCAATTCTCGGTTGAGCGTGCTGCTATAAAAAGTAAAGCCAGATATGAACAAATTGCACAACGTGAACTCAAAGATGTGTTACTCGTATAATAAACGCTAAAATTTGTAAGAACAATACTTATTTCACTCTGCGCTGTGAGGCCGCTGTCGTCATTTAAAGTATGAGATGTGTACGAGTACTATCACGGTATCACCATGAGTATATTATCAATAAGTACCATCACCACAAAACATACAAATACTATATTTTCACATGCGTAAAACAAACACGGCGGTAGCGTGGACAGCGCATGAGATTTTGATTTCAAAGGGCCGACAACCCGTTCTCTACTTCGGTTGCGCAACCGGCTGTGGCCGCTAAATACCCGGACCGGTTTCACCGTTAGGAGATTACTCATGCTACAATGTATGTAGCTTACTAGATTAAAGTCTAAATTACTTGTACAAGTTCTTCCAATTGCTTATGTCGCAATCCGGTCTTGTTTTCAATTTTAACATCTTCCATTTAAATTTCGCGTTGTTTCGTCTACCCTAGTGGTTTGACGGTCGCAAACCAATACGGTCCAAAGTCGCAAGAGCGCAAAAGGAATTCTCATAAACAGTAGTTGCTACATTGCTTGTTTTGAACAATCTTGCACTTTTTCCAGGTTCTTCTCCACACTCTTTCGGATAAGTACGAAAAAAGGAAGATTAAGAAATAAGCTGTTTACTGCTTTTTTTTCCGAAAGAATTTCGTATAATATCAAATGACGCTTCACACGGATACGCGTCGACCGCAAATAAATAGAAGGAAACAATGAGTTTTATTAGTTTCTTAATGCATACATTACATATGTTGCTCGTAATTGGCATTAGTTTATTAAGAAAAATTCTTAATATTAATGGCCAATATTACGATTCATGACATCTGTTAGTTTCTCACAATATATTGTACAGATAGATACAAATCCGTGAGAAAACGTACTTCAAGTTCAACGGCGTCCAGATAAAATCGCGGCACAACGCGATCGCCAATACAATCTTACGCGCCTGCGCTGTCTAGCAGGGTTGTGATTGGGAAGATAACCGTCCAGCAACAAAGCATTGCCAGTGAGCGGCATTTTGGCGGCTGTGGAATGGATAACCGTGACCCAGTGCATAATGATTACGAGGAAAGTCATCCAAGAGTTACACCACAGCCGGGCGGCGAACGAGACGGATTTCAGTATGTACTAATGATGGTGAAGGAACCACAATATCATGGTGGCATCATAAGCGTATGCGCCACGACCACTCCGTTCTACAGGATTGCGATCGGCTTCCATAGAGAGTATCTGTATAGTAATGTCTTCTACAGCAACTTGTCGGCAATGCAGATTATCAGTGCCAGGTAAGCCGAGAATACCGGCTTAGGCACTGGGTGAATTCAAAGGAATGCAATGAGGAAGGACCAAAAAAGTCCCCAGGAGATAACCAACGCCACCGAAATGCCGCGGGTGATGTCAAGACGCACTAAATTTTCCATGTTTTACACCGGCAAACGTAGCGTTGCTGTTTGATGCATAGGTCAAGCGTTGAACCGGTCTTAGCTCGCGATGGTCCCAAGTACTGACAAAAAACAATTTAAAATAATCTGCATAGGCTTTTGCCTTTTGGAATGCCGAAATAACTGGTCTCATGCATTTACGCATTCGCCGGTGCAAGAACAAAAATTTTGCAGTATAGGGAAGACAAAGCGGGTATTAAGACACAGGTACGAATAAATCCGTACCCAATGGGGCCACACGATGTGCCTACAGAGTACAGACTGTACTAGCGCCGCAGCACAATGTTCCGCGTATGGATTCTGTTATTTAGCCAAGCGAATTAAAACAGAACAATTCGAAAACGGTATTAAGCACGAATCATAATAATTATTTAAACTGAACACATCCAGTTCAACTAAGGTATGTACAGGGCGCTGATTACTAACATCGATGAGTTTAATGATGATTAATTAGGCACTAATATGAATAACTGCTCCAAATTTGGCGGCAATTAAGTGGTAACCGCTTCAGAGCGAGTGTCTGGCAGTCCGCCATTATGCCATAATTACAAATACAAGACACAGCACGCAGCTTTGCGATTACTTTACTCAATGAAGACATAGAGTGATCGCTGTTGACTAGTAAAAACGCTGTGACCTTTGTCCTTGTTTGCTACACCAGCGCCAGCGCTTGCCTGACCGGCCGGCGTATGATCATCACTGTGCAGACAGCGTTGATTCGAGTACATGGGCACCATTGGTATGATAGTGTTTGAGTGGAAAAACAGTCTGGTTTGACGTTATCGTACATCTTGCAGTTTTACTTTATTCAACAGCGGGAAAGTGCGATTTCTACCTGGTCCAGCTCGGATTCCAAGGTATTGCCGGCTTAAGGCCTATTTTTACTCGGCTGTCGTCACATTTTTCTTTACGTCCGTCAAAATGGCAGAATACGCACATGAACCTTAATGTCCATAAAATGACGATCGTGATAAAAGCCGGCGCTAAGATACGGCTTACATCACGGACATGAGCAAAACGGCCTCCAGGTTATACTCAAAATCAGTTTCGCCAAACCTCGAAATTCTAAAAATGATTTCAACATAAAATTACGACTGCTCTACTTCGTGTTGGGTGGGATACATTCAGGATATTTCCAGCAGGCGATGTTTATGTAACTTTGAACCTTTGGTTAATCATCCACGGCGCGTTCGGCTGACTGATAGTTTTACAACGATTTATTGTTTTCTTCGCTTGAATTCTAGCTAATTTCGAAGATGTATCCTGAAGATCGACGTTTCACTCGTGTATTGCGTCCCAAAATTAAAATTTAAAATGTTGTCAAAATCAAATGTGCAGCTGCGTTGGAAATGGGAATTTATTGTTTATAAAGTGGTCTTTTAAGTGTTTGCGGGTAATAAAGTACAATTGTGCCTGTAGAAAGTGCGCTAATAACATACACAGTGTTCTGTATGCTGGTATACGGTAAACATGCAGAACTTCACGATCGTGAAGTTTAAAAAATAGAACTAGTTCTATTTCCAAAATTTGACGAAAGAAGCCAGATTTTGACGAACGTAACCTTGACGAAACTAACTTACGGTAAGGTAACGTGTGTGTGGTTATACTCCATACCTCAGTCACGGACACTGTGACGGAGATGTGAATGTATCTATACTCGCCGAAATAGCTCAGTTTCGCGAGATGTGACGATTTTAAGCCCGAGCAAAAATAGGCCTTTAGTTTGTTTCTTGTACTTCAATATGCCTAAACTGTGTACATCCACATTTTTTTATTCTCACGATAATTTATTTCGATTTAGAATTCATATGGTTACAACCTGACACTGACAAGCTAAATATTTCCATTGACAATTGTTAGATCAAATGTTCTCTGTAATCCGCCCGCATGTTTCTGCTGTTTGTTAATATTCGGATGTGATGTTTCTTTGTGAATTGTAAAGTTGTCTTTGTATTCGATCAGTAGCAATGATAACTGAACAAAACGGCCGAGTACTTAAAAAACAGATACATAATACATCATATGTACATTTCTGATAAAATTGTTTTTGCACTTTCCCTGATAATCACATGTTCACGTTTCATACAAAAACGAAAACAAAATCGGCCTAAATCACGTTCTATTTGCGTTGCCAGTTACTAGGCATCGTTGACGCATATCTCTTATTTTCGCATCAGTGTTTTTCAAACAACGCATTCGGCAGTTGAAACATAAAATCGTTTTATTTTATTTATTTTTCATCTTACACCAGAAGAATGGAAGGTTTTGTAACGTAACAACGGTTTCAAAACAACAGAAGAACTGAAGGCCACATTTCGTAACGAAAATCGAAAAAGGAATTTTGAGAGGTTGGAAAGATAAAAACCGCATTGCGCTGCCACACCAAGCGGCTCCAAGAGTTTTGAGCGGCGGAAGTCTTTGAAATTTTCTTAGTTTAAATTTTCAGCTTAAGAACTTCGTGATCTAAATTACGTTCGATAGAAAAATGATTTCCAAAGGAGCACAAGACAACATCGGGGGCATCAACCGTGTATGTTACGAGCTATGCGTCTGCAACGGCCTTGTATACGAGGCGTGAAAACCGATTGTGCGCGCAACATTCGATTAGGATTTGGGGAGATATTATTAATGAAATGAAGTTGCAATAGTTTAAACGCACGGAAATGTACCAAAAGTCTTGTTGTTATGAACCGATTATCTTTAAATTTTGAATGATAACGCATCACTATGAAAATCCCCTTTACGCGGAATCAGCTTTCCATAATTTCGTTCAAATTTTAAATTATTTCTAGTCCGTTTCAACCAACAAAATAGAAACACCACGCAAAAATAATTTAAGTATACCGATGTAAAAATTCTGTGCATGTGAACAACGAATTCATGCACCTGCCCAGAAAAGGCGATCTTTCGGAACAAAATTATCGTTTCATGTTCTCGGGGTTATTCTGCCTCGTGCATGCCTGAATTGTAACTAAGATAAACGACGTATCAGTTATCGGCCGGCGTTAAGAGTTATCGTATCGTCGGCCATTTCATCTTTTGACCAATGTAATTTTTTTTGTCATAACGAATTTTGGTCGCAGGCACCTGTAGTTGTTGACTTATTGGTAAAGCGCCGAAAGTTAATAATTAAGAATTAATGCTGTCGAGCAGCGAATTGTAATACAGAAATGATTGAAGAGTGAAAATAATCCCAGCGCTTTAAGTGCTTTTTTCTCACACTCCATCCCCCAACTATGCACTCAACGCGTGCAAA